AAATTTAACTCAAAAGACAAATGTCGAAAAACAGCCTTTAAAAAAATAGACATGCATCGAAGCTGGAGCCAGTTTCATGCTTCAAAAACAGATGGGACAGGGAAATACAAGACTGGGGAAGTTGTGCAGTGCTCAAGAAAAAACTATGAAACACCTGTTTCAGAATCTGTCAGTAATTAAGATGATAAGTGACAGACTGGGCACAAAAAGAACTCAGGGGGGTTGAGTTTCTAAATATTAAATTTAAACAGTTTAAAATAAAGATTTGTTCATCTAAAGTTGCCAAGAATTTGGGGTTTTTATCATATATGATGCACTGCATAATTAAAAGATTCATAAAGAGAATAACAATCTCTGTAGGCAAGGGACATGGCCAAAAAACAAAACTGTTTCCATAACCCACAGAGAGGTAGGATTCTTTTTGGAAATCCCATAAGAGGCTGAGAGTCACTTGAAAATCACATAAAAACTAGAAATGGAGTTGCTTTCTCCAAACTTGTCTAACAGTGAGGCAAAGTGGGGAAAATGTCCTGTGGGATGACCAATCAAAGACTGAAATTCTCTTTTCCAGGTTAACGAGAAGAGGGAGCATTTGATTTACTATCACCTCACAGTTGAAGAGCCATCATCCATGACTGCACGAGGCTTCATTTATGTCTGTCCTGGGTAACCTGCAGATTCAGAGGCATCCATAATGTTAAAGAGTGTACACAGTTTTTGGAGCATCACAGACGGTCATCAGGACAGCATCTTTGGTCAGGAAGTGTCTTGGCTAGTCAGAAAGATGATCTCCAACCTCTTACTACACATAGTACAACATTATGGATTTGAAGCTGAAGGGCACCCACCGAAGAGATCTGGCACAATTTTTTAAAAAAAACGTAATAAAGGAAGACCTGACCAGCTAAAATCTCAAAAAATTTAGATGATGACAGATACGTTTTGATAGGTTTTACATTCTTTTGTCTGCATTGTGTTCTATGTTTACTTGGAAACCGTGTTTAATGCATTGCTGCAGAAAGTTATTTGATAATCATTAACAGAAAGCAGTGGTTAGCATTTAAAAGCTTTATTATTAAATGCAGGTAGATGTGAGCTTTGCTGCTTTTTGCGTGGAATTTAAAGCTACATTAAATGATTTTGGGCTCAAAACTTGGCATACGTTATAGTTAATTATTCCACTGGTCACCCTGAATGCTTAATTTTAACTTCCAAAGCAGGCAGTTGTATTTGTAAATTAAAAATTAGTCGGCTTTTTTTAATGACCGCCTGGGTTTGAGGCACTCTGCTGGGCTACTTGGAGCCTGTAAAACACACTTGTCACAGGCCGTAAATACAAACCAATGAGATGAAAGAAAGTGAGAATTCTCTGTGGGTTTGTCACTACAAACAACACCTTTCATAGCACACAAAGTCATTTCGTCAACTGTGATATAAAATTATAAATTATGTCAAGTGTAATGCCTGAAAATAGTACAGGGAAGAAGATGACAGGCGCGTTTTTAAAAGTGGCAGCAGAAGCAACAGCAGTTTGCCAAGAAAAGACCAAATGCTAACCGAGGTAAGCAATTGTCAAGTATGACGATGTAAAGCTTTTGATACCACTTCTGTGTTTATTAATATGCAAATTAGTAAGCTGCACATGACGACTCGGAAAAAATATTGTTGTGTGAACAGCTCTGAGCCGAATTTCCCATCTCTTCAACAACCGCTATAGTACAGCAAAGAGTCTTACACAGAGGAGCTGTTAGTTTCCTTTAAATCAGTCGATTGTATTTCCATCTTCTATCTCTCTGACAACCAACGAGGCACCATCTGCCACCCACACATGAGGTGTGGAGGGAAAATTTTCAAGAGGAATTGGCCTAAATGGTGCATACATGTCTTCTTTTTTCTTTCAACAAGTGAGCAACTTTAACTTAAATCCTTTTCAGATTCTTCTTCACGCCCAAAAATTCACTTTAGCTCACCTTCCTCATACTTTTTAAAGTGTTTATCAAAACGACACAAAAATCACTCCTATTAGTTTCCATTCACGAGCTAAAAGTTTTGTGCATGCAAGTTTATTACAGGGTTACACTGATTTCTTTATACTCAATATTTGACCCGTCAAGTCCATTTTTTTGTGACTTAGAGCACAGACAATGTCGCGATTGTCGAGTCTGACTTATCAGAAATTAAAACTCTTATCTTCGTTATGTACCCATTGATTTGAAAAGGGGTGAGTAATGTAATTCATTTGATGGTACATGGAAAATGACATTAAAATGGTTAATTTACTCCTCTATTCAAACACAGAGTTACCGCCTGTGAAGATATTCTAAAGCTCGTTGAGAAAATTAAACATTTTCCAGTTTTTAATCATATTCCATTCAGTGTCCTTTCACACCTGCATTATCTGCCTTTCATTCAATCTGGAGCTTTAATGGCGAGTCACCATTAAGCCTGTCGGGGAGTTTGAAAGTTTGCAAAAGAATTCAGCTGTTGGCTCAATGCTGTCAAAGGAAGCTGTCCCGCTCGACTTTTCTCGCATATGAAGCCGTGGCATTGGCTCTGCAGCCTTCATTTTGCAGCCTGACTCAACATAAAGGTTCTTTTTTAAAGTGACTTGGCAGAGGTCAAATAGAAAAGGATCAGTCTGATGAGTGCAAGTAGACTTCTTCCTCTTCAGAACAACTTCGGTATTCAGTAAAGACATGGCAGATTTTCTACGAGCCAGGACCTCATGCTTCTCCAAAGATATCCTACACAAGCTATCCAATTTGTTGAAAGGAAAAAACAATCATCTGTCAGCTTGATTGCATATATTTTATGCATGCATACCATCGAGTTTCATACATTGTTTCTAAGGGAGCCCTGAACTGCAACATTTGTGATAAAAATCTTGACAGTGCCTGATTCCAAGCGGGCTGCTGACATCTATCTTAGAGATGCATGAAGTTGTTTTAAAGCTCTGGAGAAGACCCTGCATTTCAGGTGAGGTGTGAACAGTGCCTTTGGTGGTTCTGCCTGCAGGGCAGGAAGACATGCCAGGTGTTATATCAGTATTTGTTCAGCGGATCATCTGTAATGCAATCTAAAGTTCATGTGTGGAGAGATGTGACACACTGAATGCCCCATAGACACTTCTTTGTGGTTTTTATACTTGCTTTGAACCGTAAAAGATCTGAGGCTCCATATCTGAGATTAAAAAAAATGTCGTGACTGTTGCTTTTACTCTGTTTTGTCTACTTTGCAAATCTTTGACCATAAATCTTCTTTTTAGTTTTATTGTGATGTTCTTATCAACCCAACGTTCGGAAAGGTTAAATACTCATCACATAACATAATGGCATTGAAACACATCAAAACATGCTACATAAAGTTGATTTACTTTATGTTTCTCACTCAACCTATAAGTAAGAGACTGTATGACTTAAAATATTTCTAAAGTTTTCACAAGTGCTCAGATCTTCTACCTCAGTGAACATAGAAATACAAAAAAAAAATCCATTACAAGTAAAAAAAATTAATATTATAATTCCATAAAAATTCTACTTATGTAAAAGAAAAGCTAATAAACAGGTAGTTGACGCTAAAAGGAACTCTACTTTTTATAAAAACAGGACTGGTTTAATAATTTATACTAATATATTAAAATGTAAGCAGCATCTTGACATCATGGTTAGAGAAGAAGCTACTAAACATTTGTTAAACGTCATTTACAACATCATATTTGCATCATATTGTATACACTCAGATGTGTTTTGAATGCAGAATGTTAGTGGGTAAAGTGCAATATTTCTAATATGATACAGTTTCTTTTTAAAAGAACTGAGTGCTATAATAAGGAAACAATACTCAAATTTAAATAGATTTAAAAAGACATGCAAAAAAAATGGAATTTTGTAACTTATCATACATACAGCTTGTGCATTTTTCTTTCAAGACTAAATGGATTCTGTAGTGATTTTTTTTTAG